CAAATCACAATTCAGAAAACTCAGAGACTAGCAGGATGTATACCCCTCAAAAAACCCACACAGAAAAACAAAAGCCACTTCACCTAAGAATATAATTTTCAAACTATAGAAAATCAAAGATAAAGAAAAAATGCAAAACTATCAAACCACTAAAAAGATAACAGGAGAAAACTGAGATGACCTTGCTCAAGTCGATGACTTTCTAGACACAACAGTAAAGACACAGTCCACGCAAGAAATAATGGATAAACTGAACTTCATCAGAACAAAAAGTGCCTGCAAAGATAATGTCAAGATAATGAGAGGGCAATCTACAGACATGGAGAAAATTATTTTCAAAGGACACATTTGGTAAAGCACTGTTATCCAGATACAGCTCTTAAAACTCAGCAATACAATTAAATTTAAAATGGGCCAACCTTCCTGGTGGCACAGGGGTTAAGTCTCAGCAGTATGAGGCTGTCCACAGCTATAGCAGCACAAGCTCCATCCCCACCCAGGCTGCTGATCCACACGGCACAGCAGACCTCTCCTATGTTGTTTCTGCTCCCCCTCAGCAGTGTATTTGGCACAGCAGACCTCTCCTATCTTGTTTCTGCTCCCCTCAGCAGTGTATTCTAGTATATCTGCCTGTTCTGCTACCCACTCTCTGGTGAGTCCTCTCATTCCCTTACCTCTGTCCTGTACCCCAGTTCTTATATGCATAAATAAATAAATCTTTAAAAAAATAAAATGGGCCAAAGACCTTAACAAACACATCACCAAAGAACACATACAGATGGCCAAAAAGCATATGAACAGATTCCCCATGCTATATGTCATCAAGAAATGCAAATTAAAGCAAAAAGGACACATAGCACACACCTATTGGAGTGGAAATCCAGAACACCTAGATAGCCCCAAATGCTGGCTAGGATGTGGAGCAAGAGGAACTCATGTGTCATTGCAAAATGGTACAGCAGCTTTAGATGACAGTTTCACAGTTTCTTATAATACCAAGCATACTCTTACCATAGGTTCCAGCAATTTTGCTTCTTGATATTTACCCATATGAGTTAAAAACTTAGGTGCACACAAAAACCTGCACATAGGGGATCCCCCTTTCCTAGTGGTGCAATGGGTTAAACACAGCACTATGAAGCCACTGCAGGAAGGTCACCCCACATGGCACAGCAGACCTCTCCCGACCCTCCTGCTGCTCCCCTCAGCAATGTACTTCAGTATATCTCCCTGTTTCTGCTCCCCACTGTCTCTGGTGAATCCTTTCACACACACACCCCTGCCGTATTTCTAGCCTATACCCCAGTTGTGTGCATAAATAAATAAATCTTTAAAAAATTAAAAAAAGAATATCCAGCTTTTTAATGGGTAAAAAGAAGAAAATTGTACCTTCTATCCTTCCAGGTTCTTTTGAGTGCTTTAATAATAAAATTGACTTAAAATAGGTCAACAGGAGAAAGACAAACTTAATTGCATGTATACAAGGACTCCACATAGACAGCAGGCTGCATGACCAGCTATCGGGTTTGCATGCCATGCTGAGCTAGGGGGGAGTGTTAAGGGGGCCTGGGACTTCAAAGGGTAGGAAAACAATTTACACAGAGATGGAAAAAGCAAATGTTGGTAAAGACATGATTTCCGTGGCATGCAGAGACAAAGGGACACGAAGAAGACTAAACAAGCAGGCCTTGCTAATCTTCCCAAGTCTGCCACACCTAGACCTTACGCTTTGTAATATCCCTGGTGAGAGTCTCCGTCCTCATATTCAGGTCTCCTATCTAAAGTCTGGCAGGCAGTTGAGAGAGAGGATAACGAAAACTTTCTGAATCTGCTATATGTTCAAAAGAACCAGGTTAAAATAATCCTTATGCCAAAAGGACATACTTTGGGGTGGCAAATTTTGCACCACCCCAGCAGCATTCACGGAGATGTGAGACTCTGCTAGAGAGTAGTGGGATTGTGCTAGGTTATCTCACGAACCCAGTTTTCCCTTTGAGGATTCCTGCTGCTGAGTCCTTGTCTCCACTTAGTTCCCACATCTGTTCCCCTCAGTTTTCATGGTCTTTTATGAGACCTGATGTTTATCAAGTGTCTGTTCATCCAACATTGCAGCCCTCTCCCTTGCCCCATTCACTTACTGGCACTGGAGCTACAAGGAGAAATGAAACAAGGTTTCTGCCCTAGACGGATAAGATAGACACTTACCAGAAGAATAGCAGAAACATCCCTGGACTCTTAGCATTCAGGGTTTCATCCTAAGACAGACCCTCAAAATCTGCCATGTAAGTGCTTGTCATTTTAAAGAGGTGAACATTTTAAAGGGTGTGGCCTCTGTGGCCCAAAGGGTTAAATCGCAGCACTATGAGGCTATCCACAGCCACCCACATGGCACAAAATACCTCTCCTGTCCTGCCCCCTACTCCCCTCAGCAGTGTATTTCATGCCATCTGCCTGCTCTGCTCCCCACTCTATCTCTGGGGAATCCTTTCACTTCCCACCTCTGGCCTGTACCCCAGTTCTTGTACACATACATAAATAAATCTTTAAAAAAAATAAAGAAGCAAACATTTAATAAAACCACATTCTGGATTGGTGGGAGATGAAAGGAAGTCACTCAGCCAGTGAGGCCTGGGTGCCTCATAGTGTTACAGGGCATCCCAATGTGAATTGGGTTGTCTGTCTGTGGGTCTTCACCCGTGTGCTTACGATTCGATCGTATTATGGACACACTCAAAAGGTTAAATAATGGATTTATTTATAAGGAGAAAGGTAAAGGAATAACCCAGGGAAAGAGGGAGAGAAACACAGGTTAACTAGGATGTCCTACCAGTTCTGCTGAGTTGGACTCTACCTGCACGCTGAAAACCGACTGAGCGCCAAAACGATCAGCTGCGAACCACCAGGTCTCCCACCAGAGCCCACATGTCTGGTCTTACCCCAACCTGGCTGCTCAGCTCCGCCCTCACGTCCCAGCATGCTTCTTCTTGGTACTGATGGGATTTGGAGTCCCAGCATCTGGAGTAGGGGCGGAGTCCTTTAAACCTGTACCTGTTACAATAGGGTACGCATCTCACTCAGGCATGGGATGTTTCCTCAAGCACAATGTTCTACCCATTATCAATATCAAGCAATTACTAAAATTATCAGGTACATTTCATCAGGAAAAAAATGAGAGGTTCCTAAAACCCTCAAGAGAATTTTCTCATGAATATGAAAGGTATGTTGTACATACTTGAGGAAAAAACTGATCAAATATATAAACCTGTATACTGAAAGGTACAAAATAACATGAAAAAATTAGAGATCTAAAATAATGACACACTAAACAACATTCATAAATCAGAACTCAATGATTCTATGAAGCAAACTGATCTGTAGAGTCAAGGTATCCCAATCAAAATTTTAAAGGACCTTTCTGTAAAAATAAGCTTATTCTAAATTTATATGGAAACGCAAAGGATGTGGAGGAGTCGATACACTTTTGAAAAAATATGGTAGCTAACACCTTGGTAGATGATATCACACCATCTGATATCAAGTTGATTATGTAACTACAGTCATTAAGACAGTCTGGCACTGTGTTAAGATAGACACAGAGATCAATGAAACAGAATATAGAGTGTGAAATTGATCCACCGATATGGAGTCAATTGTTTCTCACAAAGGGCCCAAGAAAACTCAACAAAGTCTTCACAACAAACAGTGCAACAACAACCAAGCAACCACAGGCACAAAAACTAAATCTTTCTTATTTTCACACTATACACAAAAGACAAAAGTTCTGTTAGAAGGACTACTGAATAAAATGTAAAGCTAAAGCTATAAATCTTCAAGAAGAAAACATAGGAGAAATTCATTTTAACTAGCTGAAGGCAAAGATTTCTAAAGTAAGACCCAAAAAGCACAAATTAAAAAATGAAAAATTGGGCCCTCCCTGGTGGCGCAGCGGGTTAAAGCACAGCACTGAGATGCTTAAGCCATTGCCTCGTGAGTTCGATTCCCGCCAGCCCTGCATACCTCTCCTGACCCGCCCCTGGCAGACCTCTCCTGACCCACCCGCTGCTCCCCTCAGCAGTGTACTTTGTCGATGTGCCTGTTCTGCTCCCCACTCTGTCTCTGGCGAATCTTCTCACGGCCTCTGCACCTCTGGCCCAGTTCTATATGCGTAAATAAATAAATCTTGATTAAAAAAAAAAAAAAGAAAAATTGGTCTTTACCAAAATTAAAAATGTCTGTTCTTTAAAAGAAAATGGAAAGTCAAGTCATAGATTAGGAGAAAAATGTTTGAAATGTATGAGAAAGAATTTGTTTGACAAAGGATTTGTATTCAGAGTATGAAAGAACTTTTACAACTGAGTGACAAGTTGACCAAAAAAAATCTAATCTAATTTTTTTAATGGGCAAAAGAGTTGAACAGGTATTTCACAAAATATGTAAGTAACCAAATAGAACTTGAAAAGATGCTTGCTGTTTTTAATCATCAGAGAAATGCAACTGAAAGCAACAATGAGCTATTACTACACACCCTAATAATGGCTAAAATTAAGAATGACAAAACTATGTGTTATCAAGGATGCAGAGCAACTCTGTAACGCTCACATTCTGCTGGTGAGATTATGAAGAGATACACTCCCTTGGATATCTGATGGTCAGTTTATTATAATGCAGGATACACACTTGAAATTCTGTTCCTTGACTTTTCTCCAAGAGAAATAAAAATACGTGAACTTTCATACAACAAAGCAACTGTCATCCATTAACTGCTGAAATGATAAATAGAATATCCATACAATGGAATACTACCTAGCAATAAAAAGAAAAATACTAACACATCTGGCTTCCTGCTACCTGCTATCTCAGCTCTACTGGATTTTTAAACAACACACTTTTCGCTGTGAATTGTTTTGTTAGTGCAAAGATTGAAAATCTGCTGTATATAACATGAATGATCTCAAAATATATTGTTAAACAGAAGAAGCCAGAAACATAAGAGTACTTACCATATAATCCCATTTATGTGAAATTGTAGAAAAGGCAAAAACTAAATGGCAGCAAGCAGATCAGTGTTTGGTCATATCAAAATGTCTAAGGTACCAACTTGAATAGCTTCAGGTACCTGCTAACTAAAGATAGAAAAATCTGGTTATCAATAAGCTTAATAATTGCAATTGAATGAAACATATTATATGTGTTTCCATCTTTTCACAGTGAAACTACAACACCCATGCTGTTTTTAAATAGAATAACATAGCAGAAACATTTTTCAGTGGTGGAATGTTTTTATAACATGGCCTTTGCTATATTTCCAACAATATCTTGGCTTGACCCCCAAATACTTTCCAATTGCAAAATATGGTGATTGAATGAAAGGAATCTAGGCAAATAAAAAATGTGCTAATTTGTAAGAAGTTGTGAAGTTGTTTTTATCTGTTAAAACATTTAATGTTGCTTTAAAATCAACAAACCTTTGACGCTCTTATTATAAAAACCATCTGACCCTAGACTCTACCCATAGAACTGTCCTGAATTCACACTGCATGTCTAATTCTCAACTCACATAGTTTTTCTTCCCTCTTTTCATGTCTGACATGCCAGGTCCTCTGAAATCTCCCTGCTTCGATGCAGGAAATGAAGTGCCAAATCGTCTCCTTAAAATTCCAGGCCACTTGGGTGATGTTCCAACACTTATCCTTCTAGAAGCCCTAGATTTACCTTTGATCACATTTATGCTAACCCATTTGAAGACTGAGATCCATTCACAGACATCTACTCTGGTTATAATTTTCTTTCTTGGCAGTTAGTCATGAGGAAGAACAGATAGCCACCATCTCTCTCTATATCTATCTATCTATCTATCTATCTATCTATCTATCTATCTATCTATCTATCTACCTATCTATTTCAAATGAGGATTCTGGGCCCTCCCAGGTGGTGTGGGTTAAAATGCAGCACTGTGAAGCTATCCGCAGCCAAGGTACAAGTTTGATCTCCAACCAGGAAGGTGACCCACATGGCTCGGCAGACCTCTCTTGACCTGCTCACTGCTCTCCTCAGAGGTGTATTTCATTAGATCTGCCTGTTCTGCACCCTTCTCTGTCTCTGATGAATCCTCTTACCCCCTGCACTGCTGTGCTGTACCCCAGTTTTTGAATGCATAAATAAATTTTATTTTATTTAAATTTAAAATCTTAAATTTAAATTTTTATTTTATTTAAAATCTTTTTTTGAAGGTGGATCCCTAAAACATATCAGCATTAATGAAAAACTTACATGTAGGCAAACTCTCCTGATAGTTTTCAGCCAATTTGTGTCATAGTTAGAAGACAGTTATTTTTACTTCCTAACGCAGACTCTGAATGGGGCCTCTTGGGAAGGAGAGACTGCATGTGGGAAGTCTGAGGAGTGAGATAGAGTGTCTATGTCACCAGAATATATTCCCACATGTATCAACGGGGAGGGTGAGAGTTTAGAGCCAGAAAGGACTTTAGCAATAATCTAGTCCTTTTTATCTTACAGGGGGAAGAAAAGGCTAAAAGAAGTCAAATGAGCAGTAGCTCTCAGATAAGAACCCAGGGTACCCAGAAGCCTAATTAAGGGGAATTTCCACAAAACAGCCTGCGTATTTTTGAAGCTATGAATTATTTAGAAAGCTCAAACTTCAGCAGTCAAGCTCTCAACAAATTTCAGGGCTCAGTGATACAGAGATTTTGTCAAAACACCAAAAACAGACTGAGCTTTAAAGGCATGTAAACAGTTAAGGGGCTACTTTAAGAAGGTGTAGTATTTCCTAGGGATGCACCTCCCTGTTTGTTTGTTAATTTAAAAGTAGAAAACAAGAAAGTTTAAAGATGGATCATGGGTTCCACTTAGGCATAAATTCAACCTTTGATCATTCATTCCTCATTCAGCAACACTTAAAGAGTTTCTGCAATGGGTCAGCCACTTATCAAGGGATGGGACCCACAGCATGAGAGATTATAATAAAGCAGGAAGACAGTGTATTAAAGCAGTAATTGCAGTAAAGTGTGTCCAATATTAAAACTGGGGAAATACATACTACTCTGAATGAATCCCTAGAGACTAATTAAAGTCCTGTCACTCTTGTTTTCAACGTAGTTGTAAGCTGCTTCTTTATGCCATCATTTGAATTCCCCAAATACAAACTCTTTTTTTCTCAAATATTTATTTATTTATTTATGCATAAGAATTGGGGTACAAGCCAGAGGTAGGTGTGTGTGTGAGAGGATTTACCAGAGACTGATTGGGGAGCAGAACAGGCAGATCGACTGAAATACACTGCTGAGGGGAGCAGCGGGGCGGGTCAGGAGGTTTGTCAGTCACAAGCCATGAGCCACGTGGGTCAGTCCCTGGCCTTGGATGGAAATCGTGCTGCAATGGCTGTGGAGAGCTTCATAGTGCCGCACTTTAACGGGTTGTGCCACCAGGGAGGGTTCTAAATACAAATTCTTTTCATTAAGGTAACAATCAACTGAACACCTACCTACTGGTGTGCCATAAACTGTGTGAACATCTGCAAATAAATTAGCAATATAAATTCATTTCATACTAAGACATTTTCATAGTAATTTAGTACCACCCAAGGACACAGGTGGTCTGAAAAATAATTTGATGTGTCTTGAAAAAGGTCTTACAGGGTAATATTCTGTCAGCAGGTGCTGTGAGCCAAATGAACACTTTCCATCATTTTCTGAGCTCTAGAAAGCTCTACCTTATTCCCTGGCATAGGTCTGGATGAATACTATCCATCCCTAACAAAGGTTTTGGTATCAGGCTGTGCGGGCTCTCTCTGACAGACATTCGATATTCATTTTGTAGATGTCTTCCCCTAAACTGGATGGGTCATTAAGGAAGACTGTGACAACTCACTACCCCATCATGATTATCACGTTAATTGATGGTCACTTAAAATCCGCGCAATCATCATAAAAACAGAAACTCCCCTCATAAACGCAAGGAACTGCTTCATTAACCTTGGGGCCCTATTGCCCTCCCACTTCCAGCAAACTGGTTTATTCCAATGGGTGGAGAGGAAGCCAGGTTGGCTGGGTGGGAAAGGAATGGCGTCAGTGTGAGGTCACGTACATTGTCCCGAAAGCCATCTCTACACGGCGGCGACAATCACGCGGGAGAGAGTGATGCACTGGAGGAAAACGGAGGCCCGAGTCGCGCAGACGTGCCAGAAGAGCGCAGGATGGAGAACAAAGCGCGCAACCTCGCGGGGCGGGGCGGGACACCTGCACGCGGCAACGAGCGCCCAGCGTGAGGGAAAGCGGGAGAGCCGAGCCAAGCCGGTCCCGGCGGGAGGAGGCGGGACTTCCGGAATCCATTTGCCTGAGCGGCGGGGGAACCGGAAGTGGGGCGCTGCTGCTGGTGCTGGGGCCCGACGAGGGACGCGCCGGAGCGGGGCCGCCGGGACTGAGCGAGCGACAGACGCGCCACCCGCCGACGCCGCAGCCGCTTGGGGCCCACACGGACCCTCTGCCTGAGTGAGTGCACCCCGGGTAGCGGGGACCCGAACGATGGAGCTGGGAGTTGGAAGAGACTGCGATTTGTTATTGTGAGAGGCCCCGACCTCCCCTCCCCCACCGCGCAAGCCCCTCCCCCCGCCGCCCCTCGGGGGCCTCGCGCGCGCGCCTGCTCCGCGGGCCCGGCGTTGGTGGCCAGCCGCCCGCGCCGCTGCCGGGACCTCCAGGCCCCGCGTCGCCCCTTGGGTCCTTTCCTCAGCATCCCACCCCCAGACCTACCGCACTCCCCTGCCGCTGACCTGCTCCTCCACTCCTCTTTTCCCGTGCGGGAAAACCGTGGGGGGCGCGCCGCCCGTCCCCTGCCAGCCGCTGGCGTAGGCCCCCCTGTACCCCATGCTCCTCAGGAGGGCTGTTCGCCTCTGCAAGCGCCGTTGGTGGCGACTCCCTGCCGCCGGCCTCAGCTGTTGCCTTTTCTGTCCCTCGGGTGGTTGGACCCCTCTCTCCCCGTCCCTCCGCTCAGGGAGGCCCTCAGCGGGCCCCCGCCAGTTTCTCTGTGTTCTGACTGAGCATTTTCTCCCTCTCTCTTGTGCTGAAAAATTCCAACTCTTAGAAACTTGTCCGTTTCCTCCTCTGATGTTTTCAAAAAGCCGTAGGCGGCCACGACCTGCAGGCGCCGCGCCTCAGAGGGTTGTTCCCCCCAGCCCATCACCCGGAGATGCGGTCTGGCGAGCTCGGTCACTTGCTCGAGGGCAGCCCGCTAGTTAAGTGGACCAAGGGGCCGTTTTTAACCTGAGCCATGTCCCCTTAGCTCTGTCAGGCCCTGCCGGTTTATGATAAACGCGCTGCAAGGGGACGCACGCTTCTCCTTTCCATAACTTCAGGCCAGCGTTGCTTTTCTTGGTTTATAGACAAACCTTAAGAAAATCAGATCCTTGGTTTGACCTCCTGTTCGAACTTGAAAGGGAAGCCCATCTGGATCCAGCCTGGCACCTGCTTTGTATAGCTGTAAAGTGGTAAAGATGTGGAGAAAGGCGAAAGACCGGGATTGCCTTCCCTGGGCGCTTGAGAAAGCCTTGCTGAGATCAGCTTGGTGTCTTTAGATTCTTCTGGGCACATTGTTCTGACATAGAGGTTGCCTCCTTGTGGAGGAGCGGGGAGGAGTAGGAAATCATTGTGCTTTAATTTGTTGGCTTGGGCATTTGATAATAAATTACGGACGCCATGGAACCAGACGACCTGCCCACCAGGCCATGAGGCAGGGTATTTTGACTGACCTGTCTGCCCCTCCAGGATAGCACTGCCAGCTCCCTCCCACAAAATGGGGGTCTTAGGTGAGAGTGGAAACATTCTAAATTTTTTCTTAGTACAACTCTCCCCCTTCATGGTTTTCCTGGTAAAACTGAAGAAACTTCCAGGGCCTCCCTGGTGGTGCAAGAGTTAAGTCTCAGTACCATGAAGCTATCACCAGCCACCTACAGTTCTATCCCTGGCCAGGGAGCTGACCCACACCATGCGGCAGCAGACCTCTCCTGACTCCCCTCTGCTCCCCTCAACAGTTTATTTCAGTAGATCCACCTGTTCTGCTCCTCTCTCTCTCACACACACACACACCCAGTTTTTATATGCATAAATGTATAAAATGAATCTTTTAAAAAATTGTAAACTTCCAGCTTAGCTTGAGAATTTATATCTCTTTGTTGTATTTATATCTCTTTGTTGTTGGAACTGGTTTCTGACTAGTTACAATACACCAGGCTCCTACAAGCATCTGGAAACTAGTGGTTTAGTGTCATAGTATAAATGAAAATTAAGGAAAATTGAGAAATACTGGGCAAATTGCTTAGCCCATTTTTCCAGAGGACTCATTTTAATAGATAATTAAAGCCTCCTTGGAATTGTTGTCTCCGTAAATTAAAACTTTTGTTCTTGGGACCTTAGTCTCCATGCTGGGTTTTTTCTAACTGAATCTGCTGTTTGTGATCTTAAGGAGTTAATGACTTACTGCATGGGGGAGAGTGTTAAGAACCTATAAGGTGAGGTAGGAGTCAAATCTCTCCAGTTGGTACTTTCCTGTGGCTACTGATTGAAGCTTCACTATTCTGAATACTGCTGTGTTTCAGTATGCCAAGCCAAAGTCACCAGATTTTTGTGGCCTCGCATGGGCTGCTCTTGATTTCATTCTTAATTTTTATTGTAAAGAATACAACAGTTTGGGCCCTCCCTGGTGGCGCAGCGGGTTAAAGCACAGCACTAAGAAGCTAAAGCCACTTCCGCATGAGTTCGATTCCCACCTGCCCCGGAGGCGACCACATGGCGTGGCAGACCTCTCCTGACCCGCCCGCTGCTCCCCTCAGCAGTGTACTTCGTCAATCTGCCTGTTCTGCTCCCCGCTCTGTCTCTGGTGAATTCTCTCACCCTCCGCATCTCTGGCCTGTACCCCAGTTCTGTACAAATAAATAAATAAATCTTTAAAAAAAAAAAAAAAGAATACAACAGTTTGTTAACCTAACCCCCAAATGATTTGAATCCTCTAAGTGTATGTCTCCTAGCTTGGCTATTTTAAGCTTGCTTTTTTAAAGGAGAAATTGCATGGATTTGTGGTTTTTCTTTACCTGCTGTTTTTATATTTATTTTTTTTAAGATTTATTTATTTATGCATACAAGAATTGGTGTGTAGGTTAGAGGTGTGGGGAGTAAGATGACTGACCAGAAACAATAGGAAGGAGAACAGGCAGCTAGACAGAAATACACTGCTAATGGGGCAGCAAGTGAGACAGGAGAGGTCTGCTGTGCCATCTGGCCTCCATCCAATTTTTGTATGCATAAATAAATAAAATGAATCTTAAAAAACAATAAACTTCTAGTTTAGCTTATGAATTTATATCTCTTTGTTGTTGGAAATGGTTTCTGACTAGGTACAATACTCTGCTACTGTAAGCAGGTGGAAACTGGTGGTTTAGTGTCATAGTCCAAATGAAAAAGATAGAAAATAAAGGAAAATTGAGAAATACTACATACATGAACGGGGGTATAGGCCAGAGGTTGGGGGGTGCGGCGGAATGAGAGGGTTCACTGGACTGTGGGCAGCAGAACAGGTGGATCTACTGAAATCCACTGCTGAGGGGAACAGCAGGTGAGACAGGAGAGGTCTGCTGTGCCATGTGGGTCAGATCCCCTGGCTGGGGATTGAACCCCTAGTGCTGAGACTTAATCCCTTGCACCACTTGGGAGGCCTCTTTACCTGCTGTTTAGAGATATTACCAAATCATAGATATTAGTAAAACTGTGAAAGCTACTTTGTATTGTGAGGTTTTGATTTGTATAAAATCCAAGTTTCTGAATGCACAAATAAATTTTTTTGCTCAGATATTTTACCCTTGTAGAAAGGGAAGTATGACTTTGTATTGGTAAAGGAAAAAAAAAAACAACAGTGAATTGGGAATTTCTGCCTTCTCTCCCAGTTCTACCTACTTAGTGACCTCAGATAAGTGATAGTTTGTTCCTCAGTTTCTCTGAGTATCTATCTGAGTATAGCTTTGGGGGGTGGGGGCTTAGAAAATTTGAGACTGAGAGGTGTTTTACTCAAGGTAGCATCAGTGTGCCATAACATTTAGTTAGTAGTAATAGAAAGATAAGTGAATCTATTTACTAAATTAAAATTTATCACTACTCTGTATAGTTTTTTCTGTATAGAGCCTGACATCCTTTGCCCAAGAGTAATAGACCTCAGAGGTATGGTACCCTGAGTTCAGATCTCAGCTCTACACTTAAAGAGTGTTCCTCTTTGCCCAGCTTCAGTTTTATTTATTTATTTATTTATTTATTTATTTTTAAGATTTATTTATTTATTCATACAGAACTGGGGTACAGGACAGAGGCTCAGGGGCGGTGAGAGGCTTCACCAGAGACAGAGTGGGGA